TTTAAAAAATCTCTTGTAGGCAGTCTAGCTGAGGAGTTTTAGAAGCCCTGGATACCTGATACTTTAGCCATATCTGTGCACTCCAGATTAGGGAGAAATCCCCTCCCTTTTCTGGCTCTGCACTTGGAAGCAGCTGCAGCTCAGGGCAACTGAGTCAGTGCTCTGGTGAATCTGAGTTAAATTGTCCTGTGAGAGCCAGGATTTGGTCCTGGAGCCATACACTGGGCACATCCCCTCTTTTTCCCACTGAGCTCAGGATGTGGCCATACACCCTGCCAGGGTTTGGTTTTCTGTTTTTAAAGAGTGTATTGTCTCTCCTTTCAGGAACCTCCAGTGAAAATTTTTGCCTGAACTAGAATTGTAGCTCTTCTTCCATGTATCCAGGTAGCTGTTTCTTTTAGTTGTTGAATTAGCTTCCCTGAAATGAAATATCCTCATTTCACTCTGAACGGGCTCATAGATACAAGAGCAGGTAAAAACATGGCTTGAAACAGGAAGGCAGTCCACTTGAAAAAGTCTTCAGTATTGGCCTAATTCTGTTGTCTTAACAAGTAAGAAATTTATCAGTTTATATGCAAAGGCAGTGTTAATATAACACTAAGATGATTCTGGACAGCTAGCACGACAGGAAATTTAAATCAGCATTATCTTGGGTTTTGCGTATCATGGTCTCATGCTGTATTACTGTGGGTGATTTGCTATGCCTGGAGTTCAAAGCATTCAGGCTTGGTTCAACCCAGCCATGGCAGCAGGAGCTGGTGTCACATGAAAGAGCATATGGATTCATAAATATGTGTAGAGTGCCTGCAAAAGGAGGAGGTAACTGCAGAGTCAGACCACATATCACCCACAAGATTTGTCCCTCTGTGTTTAAGTATTTTCTGTCTCTGTACAGTTCCCATGGCTGAAAAAGCTGGGAGGGTTCAATTTTATCATAGTTTTTCCTCCAGGTTATTAGTTGAGAAGATAAGATGTCCAGTTCAGATCCATGATGCTGTCCCCTCAGTGCACTGCCTGAGTTACAATGACATGAACTTCAAGTCTGTCAAGGATCTCTTCACTGCTGCTGCCAGTGGAGCACAATCTCTCCAGACAAGCAATGGCTCAGTAGTGTCCTCCATGTCACTCTGGACAAGGACAGCCTTTTGGGAGGGCTGTGTATGGCCCATGGGTGTGGGTCAGCATCACTGCTGTGATCTGTGGGGCTCAACAGCACCTACTTGATCCCTCTGGAAGGAGGGGACATGCCCCACCCCAGTCCTACACTGTGATTTGCATGCGTGGCCTTGGTTAGACTTGAAGGTGAGGAACATCCTGAGGGAGGAGGGTTACCTGTGCTGTGTGGCTGCCACAGCCTGCTCCATGGTTTGTGGGCATGGTGTGGGCCAGAATGGCTCTGGAGTAAGGGGCTGTGCTGGTGGGCTGGCTGTGAGCCTCCACTGCCCTTTCTGCTGTGGTCAAGCACCTCCTTTTGTGGTCACCCCCTCCCTACCACTAACCCGAGACAAAGAGTGAGAACTTGCTGGAAGACTGCTGCTGTGTCTTCCCTGATAAAACAGTTCTGTTGTAATGGTTAGCAAAGAAAGGCTCATAAAGATCCAAATCAATTTGAACTAAAGCAGCATGACGTTTTAGAGGACTGGCTGTGCCTTCTTATCTGTGTCTTTTTGAAAGCCTTCATTGCAGCTTATGCAAAGAATAAGAAACTCATGGTAAAAAGGACTGTTTGCTTCCCTGAAGTACAGTGTTTCCCTAGGTTGTCCAAATTATTCCAGGTTTTTTCTTGTTACATAGCTGTCACTATTTAAATTCTGCTGTATTGTCTGGCCACTTGAGTATTTCTGTCAATATTTACATTACCTGATTAATTTAATTCCATTGTATGCTAATGAAATGAAAGAAAAACAGCTCACTTGATGGTGCAAAGCACACCTGTGTATTCTGGATTTTAACCCAAGCTGTGGATGAATCACAGCACACAGCAGATAGTCATTGCTAAATTGCTGAGTACAAAGATGCATTGTGTGACTCACTCCCTGTTTCTCTCCTACCATTATAAACCCTGAGAGCACTTGATGAATAACAGAGAGGCAAGAATGAATTCATCCATGCTTTACTCTGTAACCATCTTTTATAAATACTGAGCCAAATTCTGCCTCCAGATACACGCAGCTCGCATTGAAGTCTGCCCACTGTATTTATTTTTAAAGATAAAAGCACTTTTGTTATTTTCACTGGGGACTTGTGTGACACAGTCCATTGTGAGGATGTGAATATCCTTCCTCAAGAGCTTCAAGTGAGGCAGGGAGTGTCTGCCTGGAACCAGGAAGGATACTTCATGGATAATAGCTACCAAACTGTGGTGCAGGAATAGAACCATTACATTTGTCCCAGTGATTTTCAGAGCCACATTCCTTACACTTGGCTCTTTCATAACCCTCCCTGTCCTGCTGTGCCTCTGGGCTCCTTTCATGGGTCACCAGGGGCTGGACTGGTGAAGCTGGTGGGCAGGTTCATCCTGCTCCTGGCTCTTGCTCTCAGCTTCAAAGCACATTGGGTTGGTGAGGGAGCCTTGAGTTAGGGCTTGGGCTTTTTCTTTGGTTGTTTTTTCTGGTTTTTTTTGTAGTTTTTCCCTGAGCTTCTCCAAGGGACATAAATGAGAATTGCCTTCATTTTTTTCCTGCAGAACAGAGTTGTTCTGCCCTCATATCCCAAATGTTGGTGGCTTTGAGTGTGTGCTGCTCGCTGCTGTAAAAAGGGAGACATTTGTCTCATGGACTTATGTTTTGGAAAGGCTCTATCAGAAAATGTTCTTTAGAATCATGCAGTAAACAGATCTAGAGGCAGAGGTATATTTTTTTTGTTTGTAGGAGGGGGTTTTTGCCCATCTTGGGCTGGTATGATGTGAGATGGCTGATTTAAAGCTCTGTCTGTACAGGCAGAATGTCTCCCTGTTGAGTTTCCCATTAGGATAACAGAGGTGGGGAAAGCAAAGGGATGTGGAGTGTGTTCACTCTTTTCTTACCTCTGGTTGACTGAGGCTTGTCTCCTCTCTTTGTGATACTGCTCATCCCATCATTTTCAGTACAGCTTGAAGGAAAACCTGGGCTGCAAAACTTGCTCACTGCAAGTTTCACCAGCTCCTTCAGTCTGTATGCAGTTAGTTACCTGTAGCCATGATATTTTCTGAAAAATCCTTTCCTTAGGATTTTTTCTCCTGAGAAGCTGACAGGCCTCAGGAACAAAATGTAAACAATGATTATCTGCTGCTGTGGAATGCAACAGGTGCATCTGTGACTGGTCTCATGTGGTTGTTTCTAATCAATGGCCAATCACAGCCCAGCTGGCTTGGACTCTGTCCGAGACAGAAGCCTTTGTTATCATTCTTTCTTTTTCTATTCTTAGCCAGCCTTCTGATGGGATCCTTTCTTCTATTCTTTTAGTATAGTTTTAATATAATATATATCATAAAATAATAAATCAAGCTTTCTGAAACATGGAATCAGATCCTCGTCTCTTCCTTCATCCTGGGACCCCTGTGAACACTGTCACAGTTACCTCCAGGGAATGCTGCTGGCTCAGGGTGAGAGCAGGCAGAGCACTTTGTAAAAACAGCATGATTTCACTGTGAGGAGGAAGAGTTATTAGTACTTTTTGATATGGAACTCCAGTTTGAGTCACGTATTATGAATGAAATCTAATTTTGTGGTTCACCATGGTTTTTTAAAAATCTGCAGCAGCTCTAAAAGCTGTTATTAATAAATTATAATGTCTGATCAGAAAGAGATCAAATTATCAATTATGAATGATTATCTGGCAAATAGCCTATTCTCATGTTTAGAGGTTTTCTTCAAACTGACCTGACATTATGGAAACTAGTTTCTTTTTCTGGTTTGTTTTTGTTAAATATCTGCAGAATGTATGCACTATCTAGTTTGTGCTGCCTTTTCTAGACTGCTCAGCCTCTGTGAAATGTGGCTGGTTGACTGCATTCAGCTCACTGCTTTTATGTTATTTTCTCCCAGGGAAAAAAGGAGGTGGCAAGTGCTTTTGGAAAAGGCCTGCTGGTTTCCACTTTGAAGTAGCTAACTCAGGGCAGGTCGCCTTCCCCTCTCCAGAGGCTACTGTATCATCAAAACTTTATTATGATTTCTTGCCTTCCTAGGTTTACATATTGAGGAGCTCCTGCTGCATTTATCTGTGAGGAATAGTCAAGTGCTATGGCTTATGCAGTGGCTTCTCCTTGGCTTGGACAAAAGAGATCTAACTAACAGGAGTGAAATATGCGTGAAGTAGCAAATAATGATTCGTTTTATTTCTGTATAAATACTGATAGTCAAAAAAGAATGTAAATGCTTGTGTGAGAAACAAACTGTTCCCCATGGACTGTTTTGGACGAAAGGGTTGGACAAGTGTGTGTGTGAATGTTCACATGACAGCAAGTAAGTGGGGATTTAACTGGGGTCAAACAGCATGGATGTTCAGGAACCCAGTGCACATTCCCAGACTTGGCTTCTGTCATGACAAGTAGCAGATTGCGTGTGCTGGTGAGGCCATGTCACCTTGTGCTGCTGTGCCTGGCAAGCACCTTCACTTCAGCAGCAGCTTCACTTGTAGCAGTTGTGGCATTCTTCCTTCTCTGCCCTGGAAATGGGTCGTGGCACCGAGATGACAGATTCACTTCTTGTTAATTGGGTTGATATTTTAGCTGTAATTAATGCGTTAAAATCAGATTAATGAATGGGCAGCCATCAAGAAAATGGTGGTAATAATTGCAAGGCATGTGAGAGTCAGGGAGGACTTGACCCATACTTTTTACTGCTGGTGGTTTCTTTTGGGTTTAAATCAGTTCACTCACGGCTAGGACAAACACACAGGGATAATTCTTTCTTCTGCTGGACTTGAATTTACCAGCAGCACTGCTGGTGACGTGCTTGTGCTGGCAGTGAGGGACACAGTCACCCACCTGGAGCTGATCTCTCCCGCTCATGTCGTTACAGGCCACGCGCTGAAGGCAAGGAGCCATGGCTGAGGATAGGAAAGACGAAGCCAAGGCACCACACTGGACTTCAGGTCAGCTAACAGAGGCTTCTTCACACCCACATTCACCTGAAATGAAGGATCAGGGTGGCGCGAGCGCTGGACTGGTCAGAAGTGCCAATGGATTTCCGTACCGAGAGGATGAGGAGCTGAGGCTGGGCAGCCACGAGCAGCCAGGGACGTATGCTCAGACCAAAGAGAATGGCATCAATGGAGAGCTGTCATCAGGGAGCAGGGAGACTGCAGGTAATGCACCTCCATGCCCTGCTGCCGAGCACAGGGCTCTGCAGACCCTGGGGCCTTGTCCAAGAGGAGATGTTAGGTGGAGTCAAGCATGCCATGGGGGAGCTGGCATCAGGAGGGTGTAGGTGCTTTGGGAGGGCACTTGCTCTTCACTGCAAGGACTGCATCTTCACCCAGATACATAGTCAGAATTCTGGGCAGGGCTCTGAGAAGGCTCTTTGTAAATGAGACAGGGTCACCCATCAAGGGATGTGGCAACAGACTGGTACAGAGCAGCTGCTCAGGTCCTCTGGGCTACCAGGGAGTAGGAAACTGCCCAAATGTTGTGCATGGATGGCTCATGCATTTGTGTGTGCAGGAAGGATGGATTCTCCTGTTATTGCTCACAAGTATCAAGACCTTCTTGAAACCATGTACTGTTTGCAAAATAATGCATTGCTCATTCTGGCTGGGAACACCACAATTCAGTATCAGCATTTTTTCATCCTTGCCCAGCCATATTTCACTGGGTGCTCACTGGGACTTAGTCTATTTGTAAATGATGTAAGGTTTTTAGAATTCAGCTTGTTGTTTGCAGAGAAAAAAAAAAAAAGAGTGTGACTGTGTCAAAATGAAATATGCAAAGCAAGTTTCCTGTTTTAGAAGTAAATGCTAATTATCTTTGCTATGCAGAGTTCCCACTCCAAACCCCAAAAGCACAGTGCAAGAAGAATTTCTCTTGTATAGACACAACTGCCCTTGATGCATCCATTCATGCATGCTAAAGAGATCTTTCTAGCAATGTTTTTTTGGCTGTTGACAGCATTTGGAGATGCTATCCATAATTTCTCAGAGGCTGGAGAATTGTAAGGCTCCTGGACCATACAATAATTTCGTAAGCAATTGTACTGGAAATGGAGATATCTGCTAAAAGTAAATGTGTTTATGTTTTAAGTCTCTTCTTGCACATTGGCTTTCAAATGTTGGCCAAGGTAAAAGAAATCATGTGTGAGCATTCAGGTGGACACAGTATTGATGACTGGGGAGATGATAATGAGGTCTTGTCTCTTTGCTCTAACCCAGCTTTATTCTGTGTTTAGCCAGAAAATAGAGACTGAGTGTGTGTCTCATCTTTGCCACCCCGTGTTGGTCACCCCGTGTTTGGACAAGTCCCCCCATACATTTGCAAAAGGGGGGATTACAGGATGAAGAGGAATTTCATATCCTTAGGAAGGGAGGAGAGAAATGCTTTTCTCATGCTCTCTCAAGCTCGGGTTCTCAGTGCTGGTCAGAGAGATCCAAACATTTGAGTTTGCAGCTAATGGGTGACAGGAAGAAGAAAACCACTGCTGGCATCAGCAGGCATTACAGTAATGCCTTTTCATGTTGCTTTTTGAGGCAAGTGGTTAAAAGCAGAACAAGACAAAATGAGGAAGCATGTTCTAGGGCATACAGTAGTGCTGGGGACACACATTTGCTAAGGGGACAAGGTTACTCTTCATCCAGGTGAAGTTTGCTTCAGTCACCACTTTGTGGCCTCATTTCCTCCTTTCCTGCAGTTTTCTCACTGTCTGCTCAGACTCTAAGATCTCTGGTGTGGAGACTTGCTGTCAATATGTACAGCTTTTGTTTGGGAGTCTTAATATAGCTTATCTCATGACATCTTTGTCCTTGAGCACTGGAAAAGTCCCTAGAGCTGCTTGCCTGGCTCTCTGGAAACTTGTGCACTGCACACTCAGGCACTGGCTAAGCCCACATTTAATCAGGGCAATGTAAACCTTTGTAGGATACTTAAGATACATTTATTTCAATATTTTTTCCTCTTTTGAAGGAGAAACCAGTTAGCAACTTACTGTAGTGGTAGAAAGAGACCAGAGTGTGTTTTGCCTCTTCAAACTAGTATTTACTAGCTGGATGTGCTAAATGCATTGTGGGAGCAGGACTTGTAGATTTTTGATGTTCAAATCAGAATTTGATCTTGAAATTAGGATTCTTATTCACAACAAAATTTAGTCATCTTTGCTGTGTTTGTCTGTTTGCAAATTGTAGCTTCAGCGGGGTATTGCATCAGGTAGGGTTTTTAAATGCCACTCTGATACACATAACATCAATAATGTGAATCATTTAATCATTTGTAGTAGCTTACTGACTCCAAACATCTGAGGAGAAAGTGCACAGGAAGCCACAGTCGATGGAGATCATTAACCAAGCTGTGGCTTTCAGTAGATGTACAGGGATTTTATTTTCTCTGGTACAAATCCAGCGCTGTAACCTAGGAAGATCTTTGGCTTCTCAACCTTCACGTTGGAGTCTGTAAATCCCCAGCAACTGCCACAACCTTATGCACAGCAGAGCACCAGTTCAAACAGGGATTTCCCAGGCAGCTGTCCATCACCCAATCCCTGGTGCATTTTGAGGTGTTTCTCCTAAGGAAGGGCTGCTGCATCTGCCTCACCCAGGAGCTGGGATTTACCCATAAAATGGCCCTCTCCAAGGGAGAGGTGTTCTGTAGCAGGGCAGTTGATCCTTCAAGGCACAGCTAAGCAGCAGGACACCCATTCACAGGGCTTGTGCTGTAAAATCAGAGGACTGTATGTTAAGGGAAAAGTTAGGATAAGGCCACCAGGACAAAGACACCTTATGCCACAGTGATGCAGAGGCAAGGGATGGTAGTGGGGGAGGAAGTGACAGTTCTTCCTGAAACACATCCAATCCATCACTACCAGTGACATTTTTAGATTTGCACAGTTAAAATTTGCCTTTGTGTATGTATGTCTCTCTCAGTGTTTAAGAGTTGCTGAGTCTGACCTCAATGTTTGGAATCCTCTGGATCTGGCTGTTGTATTGCCTTTGATTGATCTGTCTCAGCATCGTGCTGGTAATGGCTGCATGATGGAGACACATCAATGCCCTCCTTTCAAAGGGACCGATGGGAACGTGGCAGAGTGCACAGAGCTGAGGGCAGGGCAGCCTCAGGGCCTGATCCAGCAGGCACCCAAGTCAAAGGCAGATATGTGCAGGAGAACAGCCCTGGGTTTTTGGCATAGCCCACAGGAAGCTATTAGGGGTGTGATATAAGTGTGGGTGGTAAAGCACCTATTTCTTTTTGGATGCATTTTGTGGATATAAATTTGTATATTTACCTGGGCTGATGCCTTGTGAAGGCTTACCTAGAACTGAGGCTAGATAGAGTTAAAGAAAATAAAGTAGGGATTTATTAGGAGGCCTCAGTGGATGCACCTTGGGCAGCACAAGAGCCCAGCCAGGGCTGCACCCCAGGTGAACCCAAAATGGCCAAAAAATGGACAACTGGTCACAGGGTCTCTCACTTTTATAAGTTCTGGACCATTTGCATATTGGAGTTAATTGTCCAATTACAGCTTTAACTTATGAAGCCCCACCCTTCTTGTTTTTCTCTCCTCAGCCCATGTTGTTTATGCTCTGGGGCCTGAGATTTGGATCATTTGTCCTTGGTCCCCAGCTAGAGAAGGAATTGTTTTGTCTCCCTGCTCTGTGAAGAGAGCTCACCATGCCCTAATATGAAGCTCAGAGCTACACACTAAAGCAGCACAAAATCTGAAAAATATAAAAGCTAAAACCTGAGGATTCATTTCCCCCTTTAGAGGGCTTGACAAGGCCTTTACCTTGTTGAGTCTCTATTCTAAATATTTACTAATAATAGGTATTTAATTCCAGATAAGTATCTAAGATAATATCTCCCTACCTCTGGCAGACCAGCTGAGCCCTGTGCTTCTGCCAGACACAAATCCCACGCTGTTCTGGAGGTGCTCCTGAACCCACCTTGCCTTTGGTGCAGTCTGCAGCATCCCACAGCCTGAGACCACCGAGTTTTGATGTGTTCTCCCTGCTTCATGCATGTCCATGTCCCTTCTCACTTGCACACACAGAGCATCTTTGGTGAAGACCATGGAATTATTAAGAGTGAAGAATGAGACCTTTAGATTTTGTCAAGCCAAACATTTTCATGTTGTATGAAATGTGTTATGCAGAGGGACACGATCGTGTAATCCTCAGAAGCTCACTCTGAAGTGGGCTGAGAAGGAAAGCTTTGGACTGGACCCAGTGGTAGAGCACAGGATGTGTCTGACTTGCAGTGAAACATGGGAGTGGCAGCCTTTTCTTTGCTCACTGGAAATTTGTGGTCAGCTAACTGGGAAAAGCTGTGAGGAGTGCTACTGATATGCTGCAGCATTCTCTGGGAACTAGCAATTCAACATAATCCATTGTATTTGAATTGCAAGAATGCCAAGCTACAAAGGTTTGGCTTTTTGCACTTAAAATGCATCTATTTTTTCAGTAATACAGTCAAATTTAACCAGTCAAATTTATATAATTAGGGATAATAGTGGTGAACATTGTGAAGCATCTTCTACAATATGTCTTTATATACAGTGACTCAACTGATTAAGTGCTTTCTTCATTATATGCCAAATTCACATTTGTAATTGGAGGGGGTTTGGATTATCCACGCTGTTATTTGATGAATTATTTTTTTGACAGATGAAGGGAAAGCATTTCCTGAAATCCTATTACCAGAGCCTCAGGACAGTGTCTGTGTCCTGGTGGCAGACAGTGTTAAGGACAGTAACATGTCACATACCAGGGTGACAAAATGTAGCCCTTCAGTGAACCCAAGCCATGTGGGATGCAAAGGGACTGTGGTGAGCTGTAACAAGTTCCCTGGCAGGGCACAGCCATCCCACTGCAGGCTGGGCACTTTGGGGTCACGAGGAAGGTGGGTGAGAGGCAGATCCATGGCAGATCCATGAGAGACCTGTGAGGAGGAATGAAGAAGTGGCAGTGCTGATGTGAGGGGCTGAGCAATGTGGGGAAATGCTCAGCAGGAGACCTGGTGAGGTGGAGCCTATGAGGGAGCAAAGCAGGAGAGCTGGTGAGGCAGGGGAAAAAGGAAAATTGTAAGATAAGCTAAGGACAAGAGAAAAAGGTCCAGTTTTATCTGCTGATCCAGAGAAAAACTTGTTTTTGTGTGATGGCAGATACTA